CCACATCATGATCATTCATGCTGGAACGATTACTTTTCTTCTGTGCAAAACGTCCCTTCCCTGCCCACATCCAGAATACTGGCCGTAATTCTCAATAGCTATAATAGAATGTCAACACTAAACTGCTCATATGATTTCCAAAATTTACAGATTTGCTTTAATACAACAATATAAAATATTCATATCACAGGCCCTTGTCAGGTAGTAAAACTTGAAAGTGTCTCTCCTATCTAGTCCCTAATAAATATCCAGCTGGTATTTAGGACAGGGTATATTAAGCTCTATCACCAAATTGAATTAGATTACTGGAAAGCTATATACTTGAAAATATTAGCCTGACCAAAGGTTAATCTGTTTTCTGGCCCCAATTATCTTAGGAATAGGACATATCCCTGCTGGTAGCACAGCCCATAACATCCTTCAACATCCTATATGTAAATTAAATAGTAATGGCACTATTTTTTAACTGGGAAGGGAGGAATCAAGACATACCCAATGAACGTGCATTTCTATGTGTGTGTGCATGTGCGTGAATTCACGCGTGTGTGTTTACGGACAATGGAGGAAGAAGAGAGATAAATAAGATTCCTAATTGAAAATCTGTCTTCCAGGTGATTCTACCACAAAGGAAGAAATCTCTTTTGAGCAGCACTGGCATGGACCATCACAGAATCACCATCAATAAGTTAGCTCATGCCCTTAAATTTGTTGACAATATAATAGAAACATCAACTGTGAAACTCATCCCAGGAACTCAGCTCACAATGTCCTTCAACACCCTATGTGTAAAGTCTTGCAAGGTAACTTTCAGGATTTCAGAACATGAAAAATTCCTCTGAGGCAAGATGGTATTCTTCTACTTTCCAGTTATGATAGCTATGAAAAATTGTGCCCATTTTTACCTTGACTGACAGAAGGTTTACAACTGTTGACATTTTCCCTAAAATCTAAAATGTATCTTTTTCTTCTGAGTTTTTTGCCTGAATTTGAATCTTATCGCCAACACTTATTGGCTAGGTGACCTTGGCTGACTTTTTAAACTTCCTCTGTGCCTCAAATCTCTGCATCTATAAAGTGTAGTTAATAACACCTACCTCTTAGGGTCATTCTGAGAACTATATGAGATAACACAGGTAAGGTGCCTGCTGCCTAGTGAGAATACCAGAATGATTAGCTGTTAACAGCCATTTCTGTTTTATTTGGAATATTTGTATGGTAAAAGCCACCTCTGATTTTTTTAAAAACAGGTAAGTTACAAAGAAGTACTTCTGGTTACAAGCCTCCACACAAATAAGATATTCACATCAGAAAATGAAACTACCCCACGCACCCTGCACTGCTAAGACAGATTATACCTAGAGTGGAGTATTTGTTCCACGCAATCTGCCATTCTTTAAGACACATCCAAAACTAAATTCATTTATTTACTTGTTCTCTCCATAAGTAATTGAACCTAAAACTCAGTATGTCAGAAACTACACTCATGATATCCCCTACCAACCCCCAATCGAGTCCTCCTTCCCTTCTTACTGAACAGCTCCAACCATCCTGAAACCCAGGCCTTAATTCTTGATATCTGTCATTCTTCATGTCCAATTATTCATCAGATTGAGTCTGCCTCCTTCCTCACTCTCTCTTCAATCGTTCGCTTTTCGATTTCCACTGCCACAACCTTACTCAAGGCTACTTTTGTGCTTTGGGTGCACAGCCCTACTCAAGTCCCCTCTCATCCCATTCCAACCATCAACCAAAGTGACCTTTCTAAAGACAAAACTGGTCGTCTCACATCCTTGCTTCAGCCTATCAACAGTTTGCCATTTTTCTTAGCAAAAAGGAAATGTCCCAAACCTTAACATATAGGCTTAATGGGCCCTGCATGATCTGAGCCTCATTAATACCCAGCCTTTCCCCTAGCCTAATCTCATTCTCCCCTTACTAACCCACACCAGGCTTCTTTCCAGTTTTTAACCAGACAGCTGCTCCAGTCTCAGGGCCTCGTGTATGTGCTTCCCATATCCCATTGCCCAGCCAAAGTCCACTCACACATGAGGTTTCTGCTTAAGCAGAGTCTTCCTGTTAGCACCATGACTTTCTCCTGCAGAGTAGTAATCAACATTCACTAACTGCAGAATTAGCTTTTCCACTCTGCCTCTTCAACTAAAACATAAGCAGGGACACCTCTGAGGGCAGGGTCTAGGTTCTCACTGTTTACAGTTAGAGCCTCAGCAGTGAGCACACTGGTTTATACACAGGTAGTGGGATTATTTTTAATTGTGTAAAAAACACATAACATAAAACTTGCAATTTTAACCATTTATTAATGTACAGTTGAGTAGTGTAAACCATACTCTCATTGTTCAACAGATCTCTAGAACTTTTACATCTTGCAAAACTGAAACTCTACCCATTAAACAATTCCCCAACTCCCCCTCCCCCAGCCCCTAGCAACCACCATTCTACTCTCTGTTTCCATGAGTCTGACTACTTTAGATACCTCATATAAGTGGAATGCTATAGTGCTTGTCTTTTAGTGACTTCCTTAATTCACTTAACATGGTGTCCTCTAGGTTAATCCATGATATAACATGTGACAGGATTTCCTTCTTTCTCAGGGCTGAGTATGTATTGATATGTACATACATATTCCATTGTATGTATACACCACATTTTCTTTATTCACCCATTAATGTTGCTTCCATCTCTTGGCTATTATGAATAATGCTGCAATAAACATGGGTAAACAAACATCTCTTCAAGATCTTGCTTTCAATTATTTTGTATATATACTCAGAAGTGGGATTGTTAGATCATGTAGTAGTTCTTTTTTTTTTTTTGAGATGGAGTTTCGCTCTTGTTGCCCAGACTGGAGTGCACTGCCGCGATTTCAGCTCACTGCAACCTCTACCTCCCGGGTTCAAGTGATTCTCCTGCCTCAGCAACCCAAGTAGCTGGGACTACAGGCGTGTGCCACCATGCCCAACTAATTTTTGTATTTTTAATAGTAGAGACGGGGTTTCACCTTGTTGGCCAGGCTGATCTCGAACTCCCGACCTCGTGATCTGTCCGCCTCAGTCTCCCAAAGTGCGGGGATTACAGGTGTGAGCCATCGTGCCCAGCCAGTAGTTCTATTTTTAATTTTCTGTGGAACTTCCACACTGTTTTCCAGAGTGGTTGTACCAGTTTACCTTCCTAACCATAGCACACAGCATCTCCAGTCTTTCCACATCCTTGCCAACACTTGCTATTTTCTATTTTCATGAGAGCGGACATCCTTATAGGTGTGATATGACACACAGGTAATAGATAGCAGCTAACATCTACATATACAGAGACTATACAGATAAGTAAGGCATGGCATCTACCCTCGAGGAATTCATAGAATGGGGAGAAAGAGTAACAAACAAGGTGTGTACTAAATGTATACATGACAGACAGAGGGAATTGCCAACTCCCACATCCAGCAGGCAGTTAAGTAGATGAGTCTGAGATTCAGTGAAAGCTACGAAGTAGACACATAAATTGAGAGTTGTCAAAATAAAAAAAATAGTATATCCTACTATCTAAATACTACTCTTTCTTATGCAAAACTAGTATTTCAAAAATATCAGGTTTCTTTTCTTTTCCTTTTCTTCTTTTGAGACGGAGTCTCGCTGTGTCGCCCAGGCTGGAGTGCAGTGGCGTGATCTCGGCTCACTGCAACCTCTGCCTCCTGGGTTCAAGCGATTCTCCTGCCTCAGCCTCCCGAGTACCTGGGATTACAAGCGGCCACCACCATGCCCAGCTAATTTTTGTATTTTTAGTAGAGACGGGGTTTCACCATGTTAGCCAGGCTGGTCTTGAACTCCTGGCCTCAAGTGATCCGCCGGCCTCGGCCTCCCAAAGTGCTGGGATTATAGGCATAAGCCACCACGCTCAGCCCAGATTTCTTAATGTAGTATATCCTATGCCTACTAATAGAACATGTGATTCCACATATTGTACAACATACTCAATTGTCCCTCTACTTTACAAAGATTATATTACATGCTCCTATGAATCTACCAGTATGTAATCTCAAAAAAAGTAGGTAATCCTAGCCAAATTCCCACCACTTTCTCTTTTGCAGCTTTTAGGAAACATTATCAAGACCACCTTATAATTTATAGTCTAAAAAACCTAATTTATTTAGTCAAATGTGCTATTATGTCTGAGAACAGTACTCTAAACAGAGTTCTATTAAGAATACTCATGTACTATTCAGCAGGCACGCATGCAATTTAATTGTCTTTAGTCTAAACATGGAATTAAACCACAAATTAGATATCAAGTATTTAAAGCTAAGCAAGTTGAGAAAACTTAAAGTATATATAATTATCACTCTTACTATCCTATATTTCATTAGTAGGACATGTAAATACTAACAATGATAGCAACGTAGGCAAATAAAATTCACACTTCTGTTCTTCTATTGATTGCTCTGTTCTCCTGACTGTGATCTGAATGTTAGATCACGGGGAGTAATCCCTTTCACTGTGACCAAGTGTTCTTGGTATCCTCAGACAGAATCGTTCCAATGCGCTGCCTTCCCTGTCTTTTGGGTATGCTTTAATATCTAGCATACAGGTGACTGCACAATATGAGCTGCTGTGGCCAGCTTCTTTACTTAGTACCAAAAGGCGAGATTGAGTGATTGAGAACCAAAAGTGATTAATACCATTTAGTCTGTGTTCTCTTTATGCCAGAACATCAATTTTCCACTGATGACATTCTATTCTGTCTGCGCATGATGGCAGTGCAAAGCACATACACACGTGCACGCACATGCACAAATACACACACACCAAAAAGCTACAGGTGGTTTCTCTCTACACAAGATAGTTTTTCAGTTTTTACCAAATTTCACAGTGAAGTCATAATAAACACCTAAGTTATTTTAAAGCTAAATTTTAAACTGAGATAAACTGGTTAATAAAAAATACATTATGTTCTAAAAAGAGACAAATAAATTTGAAATCACTTACTTTCTGCTCAGGGCTTTCCTGGAACAAAAGTCCAAAGTAGTCCTTCTCCAAGAGATTGAGGTGTTCACACACTTTGTCAAATAACACTTGTCCCTTAGCACGTTTCTGGAGAAAAAATAACAACTTTACCTTTCAAGTACTAAAGATTCCAAGACTGCTATAAATATAAGACATCATATCAGATACATGATTTATTATAAATTAACATGAAATATTTGTTTTCTCATTTTTTAACAATATAAAAATGATTAAATTTTTAACTTCACCCCTCCCACCCTGCACACACAGACAAAGCATAAAATGTGAAACAAAAGCATAAGCAAGCACCGTCTGCTTTACTGCTACTCGATATGGATATAAAAAGGACTAAAAAGGCAAAATGTTAGCTGTTCATTTTCTTATTTTAAAAATGTTCAAACTGCTTCCATCAATTCCTCAAGGTGGCTCATATCTACAAAGTATACTACTCCCCAGGAAAATCATTTAGCCCTATTATTCAGTAGATCCTAACATAATTTATCCTATCAGCACTTCGGTTTAATGTTTGAGTTTTTGTTCCATGATATGTGTAGAATAGAATTACTTTTTCTGTACGAGCTATGCTCCTATTTACAATTTCCTAGAGAACGATAGGGTGTTCGCTCCTTAGGATAAATTCTAAAAATACAAGATAATGGAAGTGGGACAAGAAATCAACTGCCTCTAAGGACTTAACATATTTTTACCTCGAATATATATATATACACATATATTTTAATTTAAGAAGCTGCTATGAACAGAGATGTAAGAGCCTTTGACAGGCATAGAAGAAAAGCTCATTGTCTAATCAATGGCAAAACATAAGCAGAGTGGTGACTCATTTCCAATTAAGATGCACACCCCTGGAACAACCCAACTGTGAGGTCAGGTCAGACACACGCCTCCTCCCCAGATGCACTGATAAAAGCCACCAATGGACTGCTAGTGAAAAAGAAAAAGCCATCAGACTTTTCCATCCTCTAAACAAATGCCCTCTCACTATCAAAATGTGTACTAGTTCACCCAGTGTGTGAAAATTAATGTTCCCCACATATATATCTTGAGGAGGAGAATCTGGTACTTTTGTTATTAAGCCTCTTATGGTAACATTTCTGAAAAGAATAGAATTGCATCAAATTGTAAAGGGAAGAAGGAGAATGCCACACAGATTACATTATTTCAACATAATAAGCAGTGTAAGGCCAGGCGTGGTAGCTCACGCCTGTAATCCCAGCACTTTGGGAGGCTGAGGCAGGCATATTACTTGAGCTCAGGAGTTTGAGATCAGCCTGGGCAACATGGTGAACCTTCATCTCTACAAAAAATACAAACATTAGCCAGGTGTGGTGGCTTGTGCTTGTAGTCTCAGCTACTCAGGAGGCTAGGGTGGAAGGATTGCTTAAGCCTGGGAGGCTGAGGCTGCAGTGAGCTGTGTTCACGCCACTGCAATCCAGGCTTGGTGACAGTGAGACCCTGTCTCAATGAATAAATACATAAATAATAAAAAATTTAAAAATAAAGCAATGTGCCATATACATATTACAGGTTCACAATCAGGATTTAATAGTCAATTAAATTACTGAGCATGTTTAAGATGGATATGTGCTTGTTTGTCTATATATTAAAAGTATATACAAATACAGTGTAGAGAATAAGAGGATTGGGCTCTGTATGTCAAACACCAAAGTTCTAAATACACTTTCACTACCTACAAGCTATGTGACCCATGGCAAGACACTTAATGTCTGCTTACCTTAATCTGCACATCTGTGAAATGGGGATAACAGGTAGCAGATACTACAGGAGGTGTGGTGAGTACTAAAAGAGTTTCAGTACATAACAGTTGGTTATCATGTTATTTGAAATTAGGGTAAAAAGGATATTTAAGACAACTGATGTCTACAATGATACACTTTGGTTCAAGGAGAAAACACATTGCAATTCCAATACTAGCTTTAAGTCAATTCTTATTAATAATTCACACGTTCTCATTGGTTTCCATTTCAAAAACAGGAACGTGCCCTCATGCACAGAATTTCCGTACAAGAATAAGAGGAAAAAACACCCACACAGCTCACCACTACAATTTGGTGTTGGTATGCAGTACGTGAGGTATCAGCATGATGGCTGGACCAGTTCCTCTATCGGACCTAGTTCCTCTATCATTCAACATTTTGTAAGCATTTACTATTACTGAACCAGTGTGACAATAGAAAACCACTTAGTCTCTTTGTCTGTAAAATGAGGATAATAACTACCTCAGAGCTCACATGACAATAAAATTAACCCAGTGAGATGGAATACGCCTCAACCAACCATAGCAGTACTCTACTGTCAACTATTCCTTCACTAGTCCACATCTAACAAACACCAAAATGTTTTTGGATGCTAAGCCTGCTTCTCTACTATTCTTTCCTTCTGTCTCCAGGAAACAGATATTCTCAATGCTTCATGAGATCCTGACTGCACATACACGTTACTTAAGCTTCCATCTGCCTCTCCACCCTCAATGAACTCAAAATCTGGAAGAAAAAGCAAAAATGCAACAACACCATGAAGCACATGTTGAGAGAGTGATGTACAAAGTGCAATTGGAACACCAGGAATGAAATGAGTAAATGTGACTAACAGAAATCACAGCTTCACCAAGAATATGATATTTGAAGTGAATCTTCGAGGAGGAAATGATTTTTTGAGGTAGAGAAAACAGATATTCAAAATAACTTACTTTTTACTTTGGATGTATGTTTATAGAGCTTACTTTTTACTTTGGATGTTTCCAGAGACTGAGTCAATTTCTGTTCAAAAGACACTGGAGGATACAGTAAAATGAAAAAAAGGAAGCCATCTAGAATAAACAAGCCATGCGATATGACTGCTGGTTACCCTGTCTGACTCTCAGATGACTGTGAGGGCTTGCCAAGCTAATACTCAATCTATATTGACCCATATGTGTCAGTTCCTATGTTAAGATACCGGGGAATCAATGATGAGCACGACAAACATGGTCTTAGGAAATTTATATGCAACTGGCAGAGAAACAGAATGAACGGGAAGCCAAAAATAAAGCATTATGTATCTACCAATTTGGACATAATTAGGTACTTGGCCAAACTGGCTCAAAGAAAAGTGACCAGTGGCCTACGAGATAGCCTGATACCAGAGCTCTGCACAATGACAATGTTTTGCTCTGGGAATAAGGAATAGCAGATACAATCATGACTTCCCTCAGGCAGATTAAATATAAGACACACACACACACACAGGGTCATAAAGTGGTGTAAACACAGTAGGAAAGACAGCGAGAAGGGCAATTAGCAGAAGCCAAGAGTATCAGGAGGCCAACGTATATTTGCCAAAGTTATTTTCCACTGGTCCCACTTGTCCCATGAGTTATATACATCCCTCATTCCCAAAAAGAGCAGCAGAGTGGGACAAGAAAAAATCTGCCTGTTGCATATGATTACTGAGCATCAAAACACCTATTTGTATAACAGACACCCTGAGGAGTTCTGCAATGCAAAAACCCTGTTTCCCATTATTTCTTTCACTTGGGAAACCTGATGTTTCCCAAAACTATTTAGCAAAAGAGCCCACTATTTTTTAATACATTTACTAATGTATTCTACAACAGAATTACTGTTTTAATGACCACACCTCAAGAAATGAGGTAGGAAAGAATTACAGGTTGAGCATCCCAAATCCAAAAACCAAAAATACGAAATACTCCAAAATCCGAAATTTTTTCAACGCCAACATTATGCTCAAAGAAAATGCTCATTGGAGCGTTTCAGATTTCCAATTTCTTGATTTGGAGTGTTCGAGTATTACAAAATCTGAAAAAAACTTGAAATACAAAACATTTCTGGTCCCAAGCATTTCAGATAAAAGATACTCAACCTGTACCACCATCTGACTCTAACGCAGATGTAGACACTGGTACTCATATCTGTTTGATTCAAAAATGCCAAAAGAGAATCCAGTTTAAACTGGTCCAAGATTAGATGTGCCCAGCTGCCTGGGAGAAGCAAGAAATTCTCATAAACAAAAATCTCAAAAAACATACATTAAAAATCACAAAACCACAAGGAAACCAGACACCATTATTGAGAGACACAGTATCAGAATCAGATTTTCAGAGACTGCACATAATAGAATTATCAGGTACAAAACACAAAATATATATGTTTTATGTGTTTGTAAGAAATATTTTAAAATATGACTAAGGAAAAAGTGACTATGGAAAAGCAGTTTTTGAAAATAATCAAATAAAACACCTAGAAATGAAAACGATATGTAACTAAATTACAATCCAAATGGACAGGATATGACAAAGCTGAAGAGAAAACCAGTGAACTGGAAGACAGATCTGAAAAAAACTGTCCAGAATGTGGCTGAAAAAGACAAAGGGAAGGACAATATGAAAGAACTTCACAGACATGGAGAACAGAATGAGGGGTCTACAAATATCTCATCAGAATCCTAGATGGAGACGAGAGAGAATAAGGGAAAGGCAATATTAAAAGAAACAATGCTATAAAACTTCAAATTAAGAAAGCTCAATAAATCCCTAGCAAAATTAATAAAATTTATTAATCCACAATGATTTTATTCTACTAATTTATTATTTATACTCAACACATAAATGGTTCTAACATGCATTTTTTTAAATAGCTATAATAAAGTCATCAAGACAAGAGGGAATGAAACATAAACTAGGGAATAAAAAGAAGGACTGAGAAGGAAAATTGTAACAAAAAAACACAGAAAAGTCACTTCTAAGAAACCTAAAACATGTGCTTTGAAGGCTTATTCAAAAACGCAAACAAAATAAGTAGCACATTTCTTCTTATATTCTAAAAAGCATCAGATTATCAGGTGACACACATTAAATGCTACATATGAATGTTCCAAGTTACAACATTTATAGCACTAATGTGCAATCAAACTCGATTGGATCGGCTCAGACAGCAACATCATCTAGTTAGTGGCTCACAACTTTGTCTTGACATTGTTCACAACACACTCCATAAATAGTAATTCCCTTTGGGATGGGGGTGAAGAACCAAGGTACAATGCATAATGGT